GGCGGCGAGGGGCGGGTTTGGGAGTACCCCGTCTCCCGGCTCTGTACACGTCCCCGGTTTCCGTTCCTTCTTTTCCAGATAAACCGGGACGGAAAGTTCATGTTTTGCCCCTGCGGGACCAAGCTGAACGTCATCGATGTAGAAACGGGAGCCCTCCGCAGCCTCCGACAGGTGAGGAGGTCCAGCCGCTGCCGGCCGGGGAGGAAACCGCCGAGGATTTTCCAAGGCTCCCGAGGTGTTTTCCCCGCTGTCGCCGGCCGTTGTTCTAAAGCTCCCAAGAGGGAGAAGTGGAGGGGAGGATGGGAATAAGCGCGGACAGGTGTTCCTCGCGTTGTCCCTCGGTGTCAGCAGAAGCATGTAGAGAAGGGAACTCCGAGAGCACGCCGCTCCACGGGGGCTTTAACTGTGGGCGTTTTCCTTCCCTTTCCGTAGGACGATGAAGAGGATATCAGCTCGTTTGTTCTCAGCCCCGATGATGAGGTATGTGTTTGCCTTGCGGTTTTCTGTGCTGCTCTGTCAGGCCTCCTGATAAAGCCAGTGAACGCTGAAGGCTGCTCCGCCTGGAAGCGCCCTGCGCTTCCAGAGATCTCTGCGGAGTCTTCTCAGGCGCTTCCGTCTGTCTCCCCTCCTGGGCTCGAGTCGGACGTAGGAATGCTGAGAGACTGAGCTTCGGGAGCGTCACAGCAACTGGCGTTTCTGTGCTTTGTGTGTGGGCACTGAAAGAAACGAAAATCTAATTAGCAGTTAATCGCGCTTTCCTTCGCCTCACTTTTGCGTAGATCCTCGTGACAGGGAGCCGAGCCCTGTTGCTGAAGCAATGGAACTGGCGAGAGAACAAGTGCGTTCGCACGTGGAAAGCCGTGCACATAGCGCCGGTTGCTAGCATGGCCTTTGACTCTACTTCAACGTTGTTAGCCACAGGTACAGTCCTATTTCAGCGTCACACGATGGGAATGGTTTTGAGTGGCCCTTCTGCTTTTGAACAGTTTAGCTCGGCTGGACACAGCCGGAGGCAGTGATCTCCTGAATTCACACACAGTCAGAAGAGGTTTTACGTAAATAGAAGTGACGTCCTGACAGGCGAAAAGGGATCCTTTCGATGTTCTAGCTAATATATACTTAGTAAAATGCTGATAAAAATCGGGCATCTATGAGACAGCGTGGCGTAGTTGTCCTGGCGTAGAACTGGGACTCTTGGAGCTGGAGGAGGTCAGGCATGACCTGTAACTCAGTTGTACTTCAGGTTTGACTGTGAGCAGTCAGGTTTTGCCCAGCTCTCTGAAAGCGTAAGGTGCTCCGTGAGCTTCTCTTGGTGTGGGTGGTTGTTATTGGATTCATTTTTCTTTCCGCTGCCTTTGCGACCCGTGAAACTTTACAGTTGCTGATACGTTGGACCTCCTGGGTCTCTCTCCCCTGTAGTTCATTCTTAGGTGCCCTTCTTTTCCCAGGTGGCTGTGACAGCACCATTAAGATCTGGGATATGGTCAAACAGTACTGCACACACAACCTGAAAGGATCTTCAGGAGTCGTACAGTAAGGACGAGTCGTATTTGTCAGTGGCTGGCATTAGTGTGGTGCTTGGACGCTAGGACTGATGTGAAACGTCTTGAGTTAATGGAACGTAAAGGCCCGTTCCGAGCAGGTCCTGGGCTCTTCTGTTTCCTGAGTTTTGAGAGGTCTAGTGAAGGAGCAGAGCTACGACTGACTTTAGCCCAGAGAGGAAGGAGTTTGATCAAGAGATTTGTTGGGATCTAAATGGAATATCTGCGCTTCGAGAATGCATGAGACTGGCAAAGATCAGTCGTAAATTTTCCTGGTGGGTGGCAGGGGAACAAAGTCCTACAAAGAAAGTCCTGGTATAAATTCACATCAATTGATCTGCCAAACTCTTTGTGTGGAATATATGTTTATTTAAATATTGGGCTCACGCCAGATAGTTTATTCCTGTCCTGTTCAAGCGCATCTCCTTCTGTCTAGCCTCGTTGAGTTCCACCCTGATATCTCCCGTCTGCAACTCTTCTCCTCCTCAATTGACTACAAAATCCGCATCTGGGACCTGAATTCCAGCAAGTGTGTTGCTCTGCTGGACGGCCACTTCAGTGCCGTCACCTCGCTGGCGTTTGCAGATGGAAACACGCTCGTTAGGTAAAACCTCGCAGAGGCTTAGCCTTTCTCTCCCGTTCACCCTGCCTCCTGCCAGAGGCTGTCTGTTCCTGTAGGGTCAGGGAAGGTTGTCCTGTGAGGGGTAGGACTGCTACAAACGTTTGGTCTCCACTTGACTATACAAGCGAGTGACTGAGGGTCTCGGTACTGGTGTTCCTGGCAGTATGCCGGGCTGTGGCGTGGAAGGCTGGTGCCTTCTTCCACATGGGCCTCTTCCCACAATTCCAAATCTGCGCTCAGAGCCCGAGTTGAATGGATTTAACACTGAAACTGCCCTTTTAACTTGCAGTTCTGGCCGTGATAAAATCTGCATGGTGTGGGACCTGAAAACCAGAGAAAGTAAACGAACCGTCCCTGTCTACGAGGTGAAATTGCATTTCATTTATTCCTTTGAGATCCTTCGTAGTCTCTAGGTCACAGTTCGTATGGTACCTCTCCCTCTTTACGTTCCTGCACATTGTGAAATCGGGTTTCTCTCCCTTGGACTTTCCAGAGGCCTTAAAACTCTGTCTCTAAAGCTGTTTATTTTCTTCCTCTCCTTGCCCGGTGTGGTCGTGTCTGGGCAGGTTGAGGAAACGTATGCCTCCACTGCCCCAGTGCTGTAGAAGGAAGGAAGGGCAGTCACGGAAGAAATTTGTCCTCGCGTTGTATCTGCCTGCCTGTCCTCGGTAGCCGTGCGGTCTGGGTCGGGGGGGGTGCGCCTGTTGGCGCTAGCGGGCTGTCGCGCAGCTCTGGTTGCTGAAATGGGACTCCGGTCCCTGGCGCTCAGCTGGTGT